CCCGTTGGTGTCCGTTCGGTCGTACGTACTCTAGTATAGTATATATATATATATATATATATATATAATGTAACGTTTACACACGTGCAATGAACGTGTGAGTGTGCGTGGAGAGCTGTTATATGCAGGCCTGCCTGAGTATCCGAATGTTTGCATGTGCATATGCACGTGTGTGACTTGAATAGAGGCGTGTTTGAATGCGCATATATCTTGGATGTGTGCTTGCATACATGCGTTTATACCTTCGTGGCTGTAGCTTTTTGTGAATGGCTCCAGGATTGATTATCTTCAATGCCTGATGGACTCTACGAGTATCTGGGTAGATATGTTTTTTTCTACCGTATGCCGTTTGAGTGCAAGATATAGTAATTCTAGTTTAGCAATTCGGCATGTTCCCATCAGTGAGTACAATTGGTACACAGACAACAGAAAACGTACCATACGGTTGCCAGTGGAGCATCAGATCAACGATAGTATATTTTACGGCGCATTGCAAAACGTACTCTATTGTATCTGCTCTGTCAAAACGTACTAGGCACATAAGTATGTATAGACAGCACCGACTCTCGCGTCCCACTGAGTGGCAGTGCCATTCGCGTACCTCAATGCATGTACATACACATATATAGTAAACGACAATACATCTTATCTCAAGGCAAGCTGCGATTCTACATCTCATCACTTGTTTACGTATCGTTGCGCACGCCATAAACGTACAGTCACAAAGAAACCGTACGTCGAATTGGCCGACAGCAACGGACGCGCCAACTCTGCGGTGGCGGCAGAGTACTGGGATGCGCATAAGAGCCGCAACAATAGTATCATCACAGACGTCTTCCACGGCATGCTACACAATCAGGTATTTACGTTTTCTGTCGATATGTGCGTTTTTGGTCAATCTGTACGTTTTCTATCGATATGTACGTTTTCTGTCGATCTGTACGTTTTCTGTCACGGGATGTGTTGCAGCTAAGTGTGAACATTCGTTGACAATCTGTACATTAACATATACTCGGCACATCGATATGAAAGCCGTACGTTGGTATGTAATCTGTACGGTTTCTCGCGGCGTGTGCGTTTACAGGCGCAAGGTTTAAGAGCCCCCGTAGAAGTTTCATAGCAATATCCTTCTTCCTCGTACATGCCGAAGTCGCTGGGTAGTGGATATATCAATATGTCGGTGCAAAAGTATTTTGTTTGTGAATTGAGTTGCCAGGGTTGGCTACGACATGCTAGTTCCTATCAGTTTCACGCATGAACGTCGTTTTTACTAAACGCCGAAAAAAATAAATTTGGCCCACCAATCCAGACGCGATGCTTGGAGTGTGGACACGAGAATGTGCGGTTTGATCCGTTCAGTTACCTGACACTGCCTCTGCCAAGCGAAAACAATGTATGTGGCGACACAACACTCATGCGCCTTGGTGGGAGAGTCAGCCAGTACGATATATTCTTGTTTCTTGTGCTATTTATAGAATTGATATCATTGGTCCAGCTGATAATAGGACACACATTGGTGTCTAGGGTACATTGCGTACCAGAACCATCTGCTGTCGAGTTTCAACGTGTGTACCGAATACTCGTACAATACTACAACCCGCTGCATCTGTGGCATGATTTCTATAAATGACCATCGCACGCGCATTAGAGTTCTCATGCTCTAAGCCAGTGCGTTTTGTTAATGGCAGGAACATATAAATAGAACACGCGAACTATTGGAGTGAACCTATAAATAGAACACACGAGTTATTTGAGTATTTGAGTGGGCCTGTGTGTAGAGTGCACGCACTGCATGGCTGCGCTGAGTAATTCTGATTTGAATTCTACTGACGAATAGGCGTTACGTAATGAGTTAGTTGTTTGACTTTACACTACTGTCAGTGTACGACTGTGCAACACAACATGCGCCCTTCACTCACTGCGCACTATATCTGGTCTGTCTTTGGGCTTTATCTGGCCCATATTGGGGCTATATCTGGACTATGTTTGGGTTTATTTGGCCTATGTTTGGGCCATGTTTAGGCTATATTTGCTCTATGTTTGGGCTATATTACGGCTATGCGTGCGTGATGCGTGAGTTCGGCTTGCCGAGATGGTGTCTTGCACCATAGCTCCATTCCGTAGCAACACTACTGTACGTTTAGTCAAAGGATACACCACATTGCACTGCATTGTACCGAACTGTTAGTCTGTGGACACTCGGTTCGCACGCCCACAACCTCTTCTCAAGTGCTGGTAGGTATATAACCCTTGATCGTCTCAGCTCACCATAGGCCACTCAACCGTCTTCTGGAATCCCTTCAGTCACACGTCTACTTGCGTACAGTACACTCGACTGACCCGCCTTTGCCTTTCCCATCCCCTCATCCGTAGATCTACGTAGAAGTGGTGGTGGTGAAGCTGGATGGCACTACGCCCATCATGTACGGCGTCAATGTCAGCAAGAAGTGCACCAACCGTGAACTCAAGAATCAGATCGAAGCCTTGGCGTACATCTCCAAGGTGAGTGAGTGGCTGCCCAGGCGGTAGGGGTGGGGGTAGTCCTTCGCTCTGTGGGGGATAGGCTGTGTGCCGGCTCATGCTCTGTGGGGCAGTGTGTGGGTGTGTTATACAGTGCTATGCATGTACGTGTATTAACGTTTAAGAATTGCAAGTTTTAGTTAAGTACTTAGACATACCAGGTGTGTAGACCACATTAACAAGCCTATACACCACACATAGCATACACAAACACCTAACAGACATATACACCACACATAACTTACACAAACACTTAATAAACATATACACCACGCATAACATACACAAACACCTAGCAGACATATACACCACACATAACATACACAAACACCTAACAAACATATACACCACACATAACATACACAAGCACCTAGCAAACATATACACCACACATAACATACACAAACACCTAACAAACATATACACCACACATAACATACACAAACACCTAACAAACATATACACCACACATAACATACACAAACACCTAACAAACATCACACATAACATACACAAACACCTATCAAACATATACACCACACATAACATACACAAACACCTAACAAACATATGCACTTGCATCATCGCAGATTGACATGCATATACTCACATTATTATTCCTGTACTCTATTTTTTGTGTGTCATATACTTACAATGAAGCACACGTGTACACTGATATCACAGCACAGTATCATTCTTCTCGAGACCTCTGAGGGCCGGGTGGTTGGCTATGTACGCGACAGCGATCTAGTGAAACCATCGATTCACAGATCAACACTCCATGCATATGAGGTCCACGTTGTTGTAAGTAGATGTATACCGTTGATGTATGTATATGTATACCGTTGCTGCATGTAGATGTATATCATTGTTGTAAACATATGTAC